TAACATCGGGTTTAATGTTTTTTATTCTAACTTTTTTGTTTTTTGAGATAAGTGCGTCATCTTTGGACTCATTTTAAAGGTTTTTTAATGAAGATGACAAATATGTCAAAATTGACGTTGACGTTTCAAACCGGAAGTGATTACATTTCCATTAATATTAAAGTTAAATATGTCGAGTTTGGACTTATTTTAAAGGATTTTTAATGAAGTTGCCAATTATGTCATAATTAAAAGTTGAAAGTTCGAATTTTTTGTTTTTTTGAGATAAATGTGTCAAGTTTGGACTCACTTTAAAGGTAATAATAAAATTAAAGTTGACATTGACAACTGAAAGTTTTTTTCACGACTAAACCCGAATGTTTCTAGTTCTCGTTCTAGTTTTAGTTCAATAAAAATATACAACATAGTAATATCTTATGCTAACTAGCGCTACCTACCACTGCCACTAGAACTAACTAGACCGTGAACTAGAAACATTCGGATTTAGTCCCACGTCTCTCAAGACGGTTAAACTCGAATGATTCTAGTTCTAGATCTTGTGTTAGTTCTAGTGATAGTGCTAGTGTAAAAGTCAGAGGAGGAGAATCGACATTGGGTAACCTTATGTTCTATAGACCTTGGGAAAATACTTACAGAATGTACAAAAAGTATGGAATAATGGTTCTACAGCCTTAACTTCAACTTATATTAAAAAAAGTTTTAAGTAAAAGTTACTTAAAACTATTTTCCGCATATCTTGGTGTAGAAGTAAAATAAAAATGATGACGGCAGTTTGAGTTACGACATGGTGAGTGTGATTTTTAAATGGAACATTCTGTATATTTGAAAATTTTTGGAATCCTTTTGACAAGGTGTTGCCAAATGCCATAAGGTTTTAATGCTTTAAACTGCATAGTTATTGAGATATTGAAACTTTTATTTAAAAAGATTTGACGTAGCGACAACCAAATTGCCAAGATAACCAAGATTACTTTAGGTGTAATAAGTATATATCTGTAATATGGAATTGAAAATAGAAAAACTATGGTCACAGCAATCAACTAGACATTTTGGCAGCCAAACCTATTTTCAGTTATAACTTCGTAATGCTGTATCCCATAATTTTGATTTTCTAGACCAATAACTAAAACAACCCAGAACAACAAAGAAAATCTGATTTTTTCAAAAATCCCGCCGAGTTTTTATTTGTTCTATTTGCCACTTTGGAACAATGTAGAACAACTCTAGAACAATCTAGAACAACAATGAAAAATTTAAAAAACTTCCCGCACTCTAATGTTATTGCTATATTGGGGAAAACATTATTTAGATATAGATTATTTTATAGTTTAATAAATGTTTGCATTGCTTGTATTTCTTCGAAAAGAACATTACCGTCAACATTGTGATCCTCTTGATTATTGGCATTTGTCAATTTTATACATACATACATGTTTTTTGCACTCTTTCAAAATGTTATTTGTAACGCAATAACGCCCTCTTGTGGGCAGTAGAGGCCTACAGCAAGGCCGTAAATGTACCTAAAAGAATGCGCTATAATATTTTAATTAAAATATAAAAACTAAAATCAAAATCGATCTACTATATCGATCTATATATATAGTTTCCAATATTTCTGGTGGTTTTTATGACTTAACCGTCTAGTTGACGGGTGGTTTAAAAATCAGGTCAAACTCAGACCCAAAGTTTGATGTTTATTCCTCGCACAATAACACAACAAAATATTAAATTTATTGTATTCTACTGTTAATCTGTCTTATTTTGTACTGCTGAATTAGAAATAGCTATCAAAAAACAATTGCCTAAAAAGTTATTATTTATTAGACAAAAAGTTACATTTAACGTACATTACACAAAAAAGTGTAAATAAAAAAAATTTTAAAACAATATAAGAAAAGTTTTTGCCTAAACGGAAACTAAAATGGTCAATAAACACAAACAAAATTGAATTTTGATATACTAGGTGATTCAGACCACCCGTACCAGGGATTTTTCTAAAAAACGCGATTACCTAAGAAGTTGCAATAAAAAATATGATAATATATAATATATAATGCACCAGTTTTTATCACGCCGGTAACACCGGAAGTTGGTGGTAATGACATAAACTTTAAATTTTCCTAGTTGTCATATGAACTAAGTTTCATCGTAGAATAGATAGTTTAAAAATAAACAACATTTGCTTTAACTCTTCTTAGATTTAATGCAACGTTTAAGTGCTATTGATGATTACAATAATGATAACTAAAGATGTATNAGTTTAATAAATGTTTGCATTGCTTGTATTTCTTCGAAAAGAACATTACCGTCAACATTGTGATCCTCTTGATTATTGGCATTTGTCAATTTTATACATACATACATGTTTTTTGCACTCTTTCAAAATGTTATTTGTAACGCAATAACGCCCTCTTGTGGGCAGTAGAGGCCTACAGGATGGCGGTAAATGTACCTAAAAGAATGCGTTGTAATATTTTAATTAAAATATAAAAACTAAAATCAAAATCGATCTACTATATACAGGGTGATTCAAAAAACCGCTGACAGCCTTCTAGGGCAGGTAATACATCAAAAATTAAGATGAAAAGTCTTAATATACATGGGGTCGCAAATGCCTCCTTAACGAGATATAGCGGGTCAAAGTTTCTTTAAAATTAAACATTATCTGCAATAAAAAGCCCTTGTTTAAAAATATTTTTTTAACTCCATCGCTAATTTTGTCAAACGGTCAAATCAATTATTTGTCAAATCAATTATCTATCTGTCAATTGGTCTCTTACAAAACTTTGATTAAAGCAACAGTTTTTGATTGATTTAACAAATTTTCTACAAAGTTGTTTTTCTTAGAAACTATTGCTTTGATCAAAGTTTTGTAAGAGACCAATTGATAGATAATTGATCACTTTACACGCGTAGAGAGTAATGGCGTAGACAATATTTTAAAAAAGTGCTTTTTGTAGCAGATAATGTTTAATTTTAAAGAAACTTTGATCCACTATATCTCGGCAACGAGGTATTTGCGACCCCATGTATATTAAGACTATTCATCTTAATTTTTCATGTATTATCTACTCTAGAAGTCTGTCAGCGGTTTTTTGAATAACCCTGTATAGTTTCCAATATTTCTGGTGGTTTTTATGACTTAACCCTCTAGTTGACGGGTGGTTTAAAAATCATACTGTTCGATGGGCTGGGTCCCTCAGACCCAAAATTTGATGCTTATTCCTCGCACAATAACACAACAAAATATTAAATTTATTGTATTCTACTGTTAGTGTGTCTTATTTTGTACTGCTGAATTAGAAATAGCTATCAAAAAACAATTGTCTAAAAAGTTATTATTTATTAGACAAAATGTTACATTTAACGTACTTTACACAAAAAAGTGTAAATAAAAAAAAATTTGACAATAATATAAGAAAAATTTTTGCCTAAACGTAAACTAAAATGTTCAATAAACACAAACAAAGTTGAATTTTGATATACTGGGTGGTTCAGACCACCCGTACCAGGGATTTTTCTCAAAAACTCGATTACCTAAGAAGTTGCAATAAAAAATATGATAATAAAATCGTATATGAAGAATCCAATGCACCAGTTTTTATCACGCCAAGTTGGTGGTAATGACATAAACTTTTTCCAAGTTGTCATATGAATTAAGTTTTATCGTAGAATAGATATTTTAAAAATAAACAACATTTGCTTTAACTCTTCTTAGATTTAATGCAACGTTTAAGTGCTATTGATGATTACAATAATGATAACTAAAGATGTATTATAAAAAATTGCTGAAGTAATTAATTAAATAACAATCTGAACAAACAATAACAATGATTTTTTAAACACCTATTTAAAATTTTAAGAACAAAAACGAACGTAAAGAAACTTTAACGTTCAAAAACGTTGCCATCAACAGCCACACACCTTCTTGCTCGCCTCCTTACAGCATTAACTGCACGACGAATTTTGTTATTGCTAATGGACTGGCATGCTCGACGAATTCGGAGTTTCATATTCTTCCTTGTTGTAGGCGGTTCATAAAAGTTGTTGAGGGTCAATAAATGTTGATTGTCAATATATCTCACCCAGTCCGCACATTCAGTATGTCGAAGAAAACCGCCAAATGGCCACCGAATTGTGTTTCGAGCATTATAGAATGTTATAATTTCTGGTTTTTTATTTTCATAACAGACAAACCAAGGAATGGGATTCCCTGATAGCAAACAAAAATTTACCTTTTTGTTCAAAAGCAACCGAAAGAAATACTTCTTATATTCAGGACTTTCCCTGAATAGAAGAAACTCCTTAAGTAAATGACAAACTATAAAATTAAAAACAAAAGAGAAAAACATGTATTTAGCAAATACAGGGCGTCTCAGCGAGAGGAGGGTGTTCCATTTAAAAAAATAAGGTAGGTGACGACTTCCGGTATAACCAGAAGTGCTAGAAATCTGAAAATATTTTAGTCGAAGAGATCGTAATTGATAATATTTAAGTCTGAATTCACAAATTTTTATTTTGGCCAGAACCCCAGAAACGTCTAATGACCGGTCTCGCTGAGACACCCTGTATAAGAAGGTACCCAGAAGATAATCAATTAAAAAAATGATTTGAAAAGATACAATAAAAAAATGATTTTGGCAGGTCTTACCCAAACTCTGGCGTGAGTTCTTCAGATCCGCATTAACTGTAATTACTTTTTAAACAGGTTCCATCATGGCCGAGTATTTGGCTATCAAAATAAGGCTCAGAATAAACGAAACTGTAGAAGCTGCTATATCCTTCCCGTGACAAGGTTTCTAAGGTTCCATTATAGTAGGAAAATTCTCTTTAAAAACTCCAATACTTTTCTGTTTATCGCTCCACCTTGTTTCGCAAAGCCTGGAATTGTTGATATTGTTATCAATTTGCGTCTCAAAACTGATTCTTGAAATAATGTAATATCTTTGATCGGTGTTCCGGATTTCAGACAGACTATTTAGATCATTATTGACTAGATTTCATTTGTGTGACGAGCAGTGAAAGAACAAAGCTTTTTTATATTTTCTGCGTAGGATTGCTTGCACACCACCTTCTTTCTCGGATCAAGATCTACTTCTGCCAAATACTCATCTATTGCTTTTGCAATACATTTCGCATCCAAAGCATCAAGCTTGACGAATCCGAGGAATACTTCTTGAACTTCCTTAGTTTCCTCATCAATAAATATCGCATCCCTATCGATAGTTGTTCAGTACTCGAGATGTCTATATTATATTTATTGTTTAAATTTTTTTTTTCGAATCTGTCTCTACGGGTGGCAGCGCCCCCCGTGCCCCTCTCTGGCGACGCCCTTGGTAGTAGGTCTCATATAGTGCGCCTCGGCTACTGTTATATATCGAGAGCTTGAGGTTTATTTCTGATTAACGCGGTATTTGTGGTGTTATATTTGAGACTGTTAAACTTAAGCATGGTGGAACAAAAAAATATACCCATCAGTAAATATCTTCAACATGTAGTAGGTCTCAATGTTAATATACGCCAGTGGTATCTATAATGTCGATTGCGAAGCAGTTTTGAGTCGATAGCCAAGAAAATCATGAATCTGAAATATTTATATCTGGGCCTCAGAACAAAAAAAAAAGAGGAAGGTTACTTTGAACCCTTCGGTCGATCTTGGCAAGACATTTATATAAAAAGTCGATTTTGATCAAAAATTAGTGGACACCACTGCTCTAAATCGATTAAACGTCAAAATTGTTGATTTTCGAAAATTAACTCAATCATAACTCAAAAACTAAAAGCGATGGAGAAAAACTTTTTATACATAAAACCTTAGTAATGGGNTTGCACACCACCTTCTTTCCCGGACATCGTCGAACAACCGTCAAATCCTAAACCAACACATTTGCCCGGATCAAGATCTTCTTCTACCGAAAACTCATCTATTGCTTTAGCAATACATTTCGCATCCAAAGCATCAAGCTTGACGAATCCGAGGAATACTTCTTGAACTTCCTTAGTTTCCTCATCAATAAATATCGCATCCCTATCGATAGTTGTTCAGTACTCGAGATGTATATATTATATTTATTGTTTAAATTTTTTTTTTCGAATCTGTCTCTAGGGGTGGCAGCGCCCCCCGTGCCCCTCTCTGGCGACGCCCTTGGTAATAGGTCTCATATAGTGCGCCTCGGCTACTGTTATATATCGAGAGCTTGAGGTTTATTTCTGATTAACGCGGTATTTGTGGTGTTATATTTGAGACTGTTAAACTTAAGCATGGTGGAACAAAAAAATATACCCATCAGTAAATATCTTCAACATGTAGTAGGTCTCAATGTTAATATACGCCAGTGGTGTCTATAATGTCGATTGCGATCGACTGGTCGATCGCAAAGCAGTTTTGAGTCGATAGCCAAGAGAATCATGAATCTGAAATATTTATATCTGGGCCTCAGAACAAAAAAAAGAGGAAGGTTACTTTAAACCCTTCGGTCGATCTTGGCAAGACATTTATATAAAAAGTCGATTTTGATCAAAAATTAGTGGACACCACTGATATACGCGGACAAATTGTTTCATGTAAGGTAAGCAGATAATCCATGCATTTTACAGATTATAGTAGAAAAGATGGATAAATTTAAAAAAATCGCCATATGTTTATGAAATAAACAAGTTTGTGTTGAAAAGTTATCGTTTTAGGATTAAAAATATTCATAAAAAGCTTTTAAATTATGATTCGTTTTAAAGGTTTTAGTTGAATCACAAATAGAATTATAAATAGCAGTAAAAAAAAGTAAGCAAAATTATTAGAAAACAATCATTTTTATTATTTTAATATAAATATAAACAACAGAATTATAAAAAATATTGTGTCTTTGACTCAACTACTATTTAAGTACGGTAAAAAAATTAAATAGCAGTTATACATGTGTCTCAGAATATTAACTCAGTAGAGGGAAATTTAACGAGTTACTTAAAATAGGAGAAACATTCCTTGTACAAAATACTATATTATTATGAAATATGGAGAAAAGACAAAGAATGAAGGAAGTATATTAAACTCTGCATCTTTTATCAATTCAAAATTCCCTCCAATGATTCAATTATCTGAAATAGGTACACTGTGCATAATATCACATCACACTTCAAACCAAAAACTGAAGAAGTTCATGTACATTTGAACGTTGGACCGACAGTAACAATATAATTTCTTCTCCGTAACGCATTTACTGGTATGTTCGTATTTATCTAGCCTACTAATTTCGTCTTCCCGTTTAAATTCGATGCGTTTCATCGACGAAGATGAAAAGGAGGACTGGTTAAAGCTCATAGTAAATTCAAATATCGCTTTAGGCATCGTCTGTAATTGAAAAAGTAAATAAGTAACGTTTTTATAAATCGCCGTTTGCGCTAAAGTGACTTTATTCAATCTGTATTCGGCGCAATTTGTACTGGTGTTAATATCATCTCGAATGATTTTGTTTAATTCTCCGACAGCAACATCAGCTGCATGTTGTATTAATGGTAATTGGGTACTTGATGGTTTATATCCGAAACAGGTACAATAGTGTAAAGGGATTTTTAGATCTTCGCAAGATCGATCGCCGACGTCTTCAAATAAAGATTTACAATTCACCATTGAATCACAGTTAGAACGATTTTTCTTGTCATCGTACAATTCCAAAAGGTGCTGCATTGTAATATAAATATCGTATGGGGTAGTTAATTTATCGCTATTTTTGATGAAATTAATGTATTCGGTTGGGTATTTATTTTGAAATTCAGGCGGTACCCAAAAATACGCAAAAGGAAGTCGTTCTTCGTACCAACCGGTTTTCGTTTCTCGTATACTTCCGAATCGCATACCGTGGTCGCTAAAAAATAAAACGATGGTGTTGGTAAGATATTTGTGGATATCTTTAAAAAAATCGGCGAGAATCTTATCCATTCGAGCGGGAGTGTTTATGTTATCGTGACTAAATGTATTTGACCAGAACAATCCAAATTTTGGTTGATCACTTAACTGGGAAATGAAGTCTTTTGCAGCTTCTAGAATTCTTTCACCCGAAGCCTTTGGTCCGCTACAAAAGTACATGTCATCTAAAAGATACTTTCCTAAATCTTCAGCCGCCGTCATGTACGGTTTAAAATAATAATCCGTAGGCGGATTTAAAAAACCTTTCTTCAAAAAAGTAAACGTCGATATAGAAATGGCATCTTCAATGTAAGCAGTAACGTAATTGCTATCAGAAAAATTTTTCCAAATATAATTACACCGATCCAATAAACCGACGTGATACGGATTACAATTTTCATAGACACCACTCATATTCCTTCCCGTTAATAAGGCCATTAAATTAGGAAACGTGTTTTCGCCAACTTTATTATAACCTTTGTACTCTATCCAATTCGTAGCGTCTAAATAACTTTTTGTCAACGGCAACATTCGGTGAAAATTCAGTCTTGAAATGCTATCGAGACCCAAAAGTAATACGCTAGGTGGTTTTTCTTTCATTAATTTCATTGCGGTTATTTTGTTTTTGATAGGAACGTTTTTAACAAATACAGGATGTGCGTTGGAGTAAATTTCTACGCCTGTTAATTCATCGAAACATTTTACCACAACTTCCGTTACATTTAATTGTTGACGATCTTCAAATTTACGACAGTTTGAATAACTGCAATAAAAATAAAAAGTAGTGTTAAAAAATCAATAATATAAAAATTCAAACTTAAAAAAAGTAAGATTTTCATAAAGGTTACAAAACTCTAACTCTAAAAAGTTTTTAGCAGTAGGTGTTATACAGATGTTAATTCGAGTGCGGGAAGTTAGCCCCCTATTTTTTGATTTTTAATTTTTTTATTATTGTTCTAGAGTTGTTCTACATTGTTCCAAAGCGGCAAATCGAAAAAATAAAAACTCTGCGAGAAAACCGAAAAAAACGGGTTTTTTGACTAGGTGATTTTTAGAAAATTAGATGGTCAGATTATTTCATATTATTTAAATTTTTAAAACTATTATTATATTAAAGGTTGGATCACTGATTCAACAAAACCTGTCCGATATCACAACAACTCAAATTTAAGGTTTTTCTAGTGAAAATATCAGCTGTTCAATTGTTTTAATTGTTGTAAGTACTAATTTTGAATATAAAACTTTAAAAGAACTAAAACCACAGTGATTAAATAAACATTTATAAACAAATACCTAGAACAACAAGAATAATTTACAGCAACAAAAAATATGTGATTTTGCAAAATTAATGTCCGTGTTAAACGTAAAACACATCTGGAGCAATTAGAATCGGCAAAGTGTGAGTTATTTTAGATTGTTCTATGTTTTTTAATTCTTATTGTGTAATATAAAACCGCTGACACAAGAATTACTGACTGAAACTTCCAAAAACTTTAATTTTCAAAGAGTAAAGTGCCCTTCAGAGAGTTGTTCTAGTGAAAATAATAGCTGTTCCAGATTGCGTTAGCTATAATAAGTATATGTATATTTGTAATATGCAATTGATAATAGAAAAACTATATTCACAGCAATCAACTAGACATTTCGGCGGCCAAACCTATTTTTAGTTATAACTTCGTAATGCTGTATCCCATAATTTTGATTTTCTAGAACAATAACTAGAACAACTAGAACAAGCCAGAACAACAACGAAAATTTGATTTTTCCAAAAATGGGGGGCTAGTCAAAAAACCCGTTTTTTTCGGTTTTCTCGCGGTGTTTTTATTTTTTCGATTTGCCACTTTGGAACAATGTAGAACAACTCTAGAACAATCTAGAACAACAATAAAAAAATTGTTAATTCCTACCCTAATATTAACCTTCATAAACCCGAGCTGGGTACAGCTGTACCCCAGACATGAATTTTTGGGTATATTTTCAAAAAAATTTTTTTTCTTACTTTCCCTCGAGCTATGTTTCTTAAATATATATTATATCTAAATTGGTATACAAAATTTTGAATAAATTGCTTTTTATTGTAACTAATTATTTATAGAGAGTTTTGTTGCTTAAACTAATAATAAATATAATAAATTTTGCCTACGTTAAAAACCAACCGGGGTACAAATAAACCCCAAATTGTTCAAACGACGGGGATTCCCCGTTTCTTGGCGTCAACGCTCTCGGGGATTCCCAATTTATTTAATAGCGGCTTTGTGCACGTATTTATCTCAGTATAATTTTAGTGCGTTTAGTCACGTTTACAGTGATTGTCGAGTACGCGTTTATAAAAATTAGTGAACTACGGAAGTTTCGAAATGAAAATAAGCTAACTGACGAAGAACTATTGGCGATATTAGAAACGGACGATTACGACACTTATTTTAATGATTTAGCACTCCTGTAGTGCTAATACAGGATGGTGCAAGTGATATTGAGGAGACTGACATAGTGTCTGAAACTGATGAGATAGATGACGTTTTACAAGTTAGTGGTAGGGAAAATGAGTCAACAGATTCTGTAGATGAAGTAGGCCCGTCAGTAAACTTTTATACCGATGATCCAACTTATTCGTCTAAAGATGGTAGTGTGTGGGCAAAGGTTCCTTTTACTACGAAGATCAAGAGACGAAAATGTAATATCCAAAAAGTTTCACTAGGTTTGACTAGATATAGTTCCCAATTTTTTACCATAAAAGAAGCTTTTGAACTATTTTTTTCACAAGATATTATGGATGTGATTTTATCGGAGACGAATAGAAAAGCCGAATCATATACAGGGTGTACAAAAAGTATGGAATAATGGTTCTACAGCCTAAACTTCAACTTATATTAAAAAAAGTTTTAAATAAAAGTTACTTGAAACTATTTTCCGCATATCTTGGCGTAGAAATAAAATAAAAATGATGACGGCAGTCTGAGTTACGACATGGTGAGTGTGTTTTTTAAATGGAACACTCTGTATATTTTAAGGTTTTTGAATTCCTTTTGACAAGATGTTGCAAAATGCCATAAGGTTTTAATGCTTTAAACTGCATAGTTTTCGAGATATTGAAACTTTTATTTAAAAAGATTTGACGTAGCGACAACCAAATTATGGCGTCATTATGGAATTGTTATGTGTGTTACTATGGTAACAGAGACAGTTTCCGCTCGAATAGACTACCTAAGTCTGACGTCACAGAGATGGGCGGAGCTTATAACGACTCCAAACAATTTCGTTGCTAACCACAGTTGCTAACGATAAACAGCCAAAAAATGTCATTTAAAATGTCACGTTTAGTTTATTTTATTTTAACACTAAATGAAAAATTGCATATAGTAGTTTACCGTTAGCAACACAGTTAGCAACGAAAATGTTTGGAGTCAGTATAAGATCCGCCCATCACTGTGACGTCAAGGCTTAGGTTGTCTATTTCGTTGCTAACCACAGTTGCTAACGATAAATCGCCAAAAAATGTCATTTGAAATGTCATCACTTAGTTTATTTTATTTTAACACTAAATGAAAAATTGTATATGGTAGTTTACCGTTAGCAACACAGTTAGCAACGAAAATGTTCGGAGTCGATATAAGCTCCGCCCATCACTGTGACGTCAAGGCTTAGGTTGTCTATTTTAAGTTGATTTCGAAAAGGTCTTAATTGTAGATATTAAATAAATAAGAACATGGGTCTACTTGAATCTAGTTTCCGCATATTTTGGTGTAAATTTAAAAATAAAATGGTGACGCCGATTTGAGTTAGAACACGGAGATATTATTAGTTATTCCTGATATTATTACTATTGAACATTTATTACATAAGCTTGGATAAAAATTACTAAACTACACCTATCTGGAGCAAGCTATGACGTGACGATATGATTGTTATGAGCGTTGCCATGGTAACGGAGACAGTTTAAAGTTTAAACAAAGGTAGTTGCTGGCATTATTAGTTAAATATCTACTAGAGAAATGGTACATTTAACGGACACAGAACGAATTATTATTTTAACAATGGTTGGTTTTGGAGATCGTACGAGAACGCAACATGAAGTATGTGTTTTATTTAATGAAACATTTTAGAGATTTTCCAAGAAGAGATAAAGGATATTCCAAAATGCGGTCGGCCGAATGTTGCAACTAATGAAGATATGATAAGGCAAGGTGTGTTAGAAGAAATAACAGATAATCTACATACTTCTATTTGTCAACTAGCCTTAAATTTCGATGTCAATACAAAATCTATTCAAAAGATTTTGAAAAAGGAGAAACAACATCCCTATAAACCGGCTTTACTGCAACAGTGATCAGAAGATGATTTTGATAGACGTGTACAATTTTGTGAAGAAATGATGAGGCGAATTAACGATGATCCGAACTTCGTTAACAACATAATATTTTCTGACGAAGCCACATTTTATTTGAATGGAAAAGTGAATGGACGCAATTGTCGATACTGGTCTGCTGAGACCCCCACTGAGAAACGCAGCAGAAAATAAATTTGTGGGCAGGTATTTGTAGCGATCGAATTATGGGCCTATTTGTAATCTATGGAAATCTTACTGGTGATCGTTATCTGGAATTATTGCAAGAACAAATAATTCCGACCTGTAGGGATCTTTTTCCGAACGAAAACAATCTCTGGTTCCAACAAGATGGGGGAACACCTCACTATCATCTAAATGTACGCAGGCTTTTAGATAGGCCGTAGGGTTCCTGTAGAATGGCCACCACGATCTCCAGACTTGACACCATGCGAAGCAAAGTATGTATATCAAAACCGTCCTAATAATTTAGCAGAGTTAGAACGGCGAATACAGTACGAAGTAGCTCAAATATTGCCTGATCATTTCAGAAATACAATTCGTGCTTTTAGTGATCGTTTAGGCCATTGCCTTGCTGCTAATGGACAACATTTTGAACATTTAATTTAATATTGTTACTGTTTTTGTTTTATTTCCTGTTATTGTTCGTTATAAAATTTCATTGTTTAATTATTGTTTGTTACAATTAAATGTAGTAACCACCCATGTTTTTATTTATGTAATATCTACTGTCAACTTAAAATTCGAGCGGAAATTGTCTCCGTTACCATAGTAACACACATAACAATCCCATAATGACGCCATAATTTGATTGTCGCTACGTCAAATCTTTTTAAATAAAAGTTTCAGTATCTCGAAAACTATGCAGTTTAAAGCATTAAAATCTGATGGCATTTTGGAACACCTTGTCAAAAGGAATCCAAAAACGTTAAAATATACATAATAGGGTGTTCCATTTAAAAAACACTCACCATGTCGTAACTCAGACTGCCGTCATCATTTTTATTTTATTTCTACGCCAAGATATGTGGAAAATAGTTTCAAGTAACTTTTATTTAAAACTTTTTTTAATATAAGTTGAAGTTTAGGCTGTAGAACCATTAATCCATACTTTTTGTACACCCTGTATAATCTGCCTTGTCTCGCAACAGATTATGTGCTTTCTAAGATTCAACAATTTTGAAACAAGAGAAGAAAGAAAACACACCGATAAATTTGCCCCAACCAGAGATGTTTTTGATGGTTTTGTAACAAATTGCAAGATATCTTTTAATCCATCTGTCCATTTGCGGGTTTACATGAAGAGTAAGCCGGACAAGTACGGCTTAAAAATTTGGGCACTGGCTGATTGTAGTTCGGCATATACAGCGAATATGCAACCTTATTTAGGTAAGTTTTTTCATGAAAAAAATGTAGATTTTTATTACAGAATAATAATTTTAGGCAAAGTAGGAAACAAACCGGAGAAAGGCCAAGGACAAAGGGTAGTGATGGACCTGGTAAACCATTTATCTTCAGGATATGGAATAACTACTGATAACTTTCTTACCAGTATTGAGTTAGCTAATAAGCTTTTAGATAAAAACCTTACCTTGTGTGGTACACTGCGTAAAAATAAACCTTATATTCCAAAAGAACTACTTCCAGCAAGATATAAGAAAGATTTTTCAAGCATAGGGTGGAATCCCGAATTCCCCGTAGTATAGACATTATAGCGCTACTTGTTCAAAAATGGCGCGTATTATTGAATTAAATTCATTCAATTGTCTTATAAAAATGTGTAAGTTATTAAAAATGTAATAAATATGTATGTACATAAATATATGTATGTATTTAAAAACGTCGCAAAATTCTTACAAACATTTTTTGTCGTATTCCGAATAAATGCCTCATACCGTGCAAAATTTCGTTTCGTTAAAAGAGGACGTATTCTAAAGCAGTCGTATACCGAGGTTCCACTGTACATTCAAATTAAAAAAATCTAGAACTGAAACTGTTAATTTACGTCATCTTCTTCAATAGCGCTACACTCCAAATCAAGCTCTGACTTCTTCTATCGTTCGCCTTTAATGGTGTCCTAATTCAGCCATTTTCCTCCTAGTTGTCTTGGAAACATTTTCTTTGTGGCATATATCTCTGGTAGGCGTTGTTTATGTTATATATTGTTTCAAACAATATGTTGCAGCATACCTCCGTAGCATACCACTGTACGGATAAGAGTTTCATATATGCGGAGTTTGAGATATCTGTGGATGTTTCAGGATCTCGTGATAAGTAAAGGGGAATAAAATACGCGGTTTTTGTATCTTATCGTTTTCGATTCCACTACTNTCTTAAACCCTTCTTTATTATATTTTGAAATAAATACACTCATAACGTCAATGTTAATTTGTATGTTTAGTGTTGACGATAACAAACGAAAATAAATACAATAATAAGTAAATAAATAAATAATAATAATTATTAATTTAAATTTACCGCCAAAATATCTAGTGATATTTTCTGATGATTTTTCCTAGTGTAAATCTGACTTTCGCGTTTACTCCTCCTAGTTTAAAAACAGAGTATAGGTGTTGAGTTATACATATACAGGGTGTACAAATAATGGTTCTACAGCCTAAACTTCAACTTATATTAAAAAAAGTTTTAAATAAAAGTTACTTGAAACTATTTTCCGCATAATATATCTTGACGTAGAAATAAAATAAAAATGATGGCGGCAGTTGGCAACGAAAATATTTGGAGTCAGTATAAGATCCGCCCATCACTGTGACGTCAAGGCTTAGGTTGTCTATTTCGTTGCTAACCCCAGTTGCTAACGATAAACCGCCAACAAATGTCATCACTTAGTTTATTTTATTTTAACACTAAAGAAAAATTGCATGTGGTGATTTACCGTTAGCAACACAGTTAGCAACGAAAATGTTTGGAGTCGGTATAAGCTCCGCCCATCTCTATGACGTCAAGGCTTAGGTTGTCTATTTTAAGTTGATTTCGAAAAGGTCTTAATTGTAGATATTAAATAAATAAGAACATGGGTCTACTTGAATCTAGTTTCCGCATATTTTGGTGTAAATTTAAAAATAAAATGGTGACGCCGATTTGAGTTAGAACACGGAGATATTATTAGTTATTCCTGATATTATTACTATTGAACATTTATTACATAAGCTTGGATAAAAATTACTAAACTACACCTATCTGGAGCAAGCTATGACGTGACGATATGATTGTTATGAGCGTTGCCATGGTAACGGAGACAGTTTAAAGTTTAAACAAAGGTAGTTGCTGGCATTATTAGTTAAATATCTACTAGAGAAATGGTACATTTAACGGACACAGAACGAATTATTATTTTAACAATGGTTGGTTTTGGAGATCGTACGAGAACGCAACATGAAGTATGTGTTTTATTTAATGAAACATTTTAGAGATTTTACAGTTAGTCAAACTTTAAAACATTTTAAAGAGACGGGTCATGTAAAGGATATTCCAAAATGCAGTCGGCCGAATGTTGCAACTAATGAAGTTATGATGAGGCAAGGTGTGTTAGAAGAAATAACAGATAATCTACATACCTCGTCATTCGTCAACTAGCCTTAAATTTCGATGTCAGTACAAAATCTATTCAAAACATTTTGAAAAAAGAGAAACAACATCCCTATAAACCGGCTTTACTGCTAAAGTGATCAGAAGATGATTTTGATAGACGTGTACAATTTTGTGAAGAAATGATGAGGCGAATTAACGATGATCCGAACTTCGTTAACAACATAATATTTTCTGACGAAGCCACATTTTATTTGAATGGAAAAGTGAATGGACACAATTGTCGATACTGGTCTGCTGAGAACCCCACTGAGAAACGCAGCAGAAAATAAATTTGTGGGCAGGTATTTGTAGAGATCGAATTATCGGCCCGTTTGTAATCTATGAAAATCTCACTGGTGATCAGGTGATCGTTATCTGGAATTATTGCAAGAACAAATAATTCCGATCTTTTTCCGAACGAAAACAATCTCTGGTTCCAATAAGATGGAGCACCACCTCACTATCATCTAAATGTACGCAGGCTTTTAGATGAAGTACTTTTGAATCGTTGGATAGGCCGTAGAATGGCCACCACGATCTCCAGACTTGACACCATGCGACTTTTTCTTATGGGGTAACCTAAAAAGCATAGTATATCAAAACCGTCCTAATAATTTAGCAGAATTAGCACGACGAATACGGTACGAAGTAGCTCAAATATTGCCTGATCATTTCAGAAATACAATTCGTGCTTTTAGTGATCGTTTAGGCCATTGCCTTGCTGCTAATGGACAACATTTTGTACATTTAATTTAATATTGTTACTGTTTTTGTTTTATTTCCTGTTATTGTTCGTTATAAAATTTCATTGTTTAATTATTATTTGTTACAATTAAATGTAGTAACTACCCAAGGACAGTAGAATCTAACAGGGCTGCTACATACATTGTATTTTTGTAGCCCACTACGGGTTGGTTGCCCGCACTCTACGTCACACTATTTGCCACGCCCTGTTAACTGTCATTCAGTACTATGCGTTTGCTGTGTTTTTAGAGATTTAGAGGTTACATGATAGACATTAATACGTCTAAAAAAATAAAACTTCAAAAATAATATGAATACGTCTACGATATAACCTCTAAAATCACAGCAAACGCATAGAGCTAGGCGTGGCAAATGGTATGACGTAGTTTGCGGGCAGGTTGTCACAACAATGGATGTAGCAGTTCCTTGGTAACCAACCATGTTTTTATTTATGTAATATCTATTGTCAACTTAAAATTCGAGCGGAAATTGTCTCCGTTCCCATAGTAACACACATAACAATCCCATAATGACGTCATAATTTGATTGTTGCTACGTCAAATCTTTTTAAATAAAAGTTTCAATATCTCGAAAACTATGCACTTTAAAGCATTAAAAACTTATGGCATTTTGGATCACCCTGTCAAAAGGAATCTAAAAACCTTAAATTATACAGGTGTTCCATTTGAAAAACACGCACCATGTCGTAACTCAGACTGCCGTCATCAGTTTTATTTTATTTCTACGTCAAGATATGCGGAAAATAGTTTCAAGTAACTTTTATTTAAAACTTTTTTTTATATAAGTTGAAGTTTAGGCTATAGCACCATTATTCTATACTTTTTGTACACCCTGTATATCATCATGCAACTTATCTAGAAGATTTCCGCTTATCAAAAACGAACGCGGATGACGAGAGTTTAATGTTGCAAGCTTTGTTTCAATATGTCACTTCATGGTTCCATCCTCTCCTCCTCCTTCCATCCCAGCTTGCCTCCCATATCTGTTTTACAAGGTTGTTTTCGCTCAGAGCTAGTAAGAACTAGTCTTGCTCTTATTTAGTAGTTCCTCGTTCTGTCTATACTAATCGAATAGAGAATATTTTTCAACCAGGTATCACAAAATTCCAATTCGAGCATTAAATAGAAGTACTACTTAGACTTAATTTACCTCATACAGGATCATACAGAATCTGCAAATTTGGCGGAATATGTAACAAAGATTTACATACAGATGTTGTAAATTTAAAAAATTTCCACATTATGTTTTGAGAAAAATAATAAACGTTTTTGCGATAAACCCAATTTTATTTATTTTCTTTTTAGTGCGGGTTTAAATCCCAACGAGACAATATATTTTCCTTTGAGTATCTACAAGGGAACGGTATAAAATAAGTTTTTAGATACTAAATCAATACCACGCACCGTGTTACAGATAAGATTCACCACATTACGTAAAAAATATCATCCATTAACTTAATTTACAAAATTTTAACGATTTTCTTAAAACACCTAAAAATTAAATGAAATAAACTTGTTATATGACATTTAATTTATTATCATTTGTCAACATTTTCGATTTCATAAAAATTTAATTCATCCAAATTAATATGGCTAAAACTAAAGTGCTTATTAATCTTTTTAATTTAATTATATAAATTAATTTTCTTTTAGGTTGGTGTGTTATTATCGTGTGAATTGGGACTTACCATATTTAACAGTCGTATAGAACGTCCCGTTACAACAATGTTTGGAGATCCATCCGCTCCAATTGTCGAATGTAACGTGGGTAAAGTACCGTGTATTTACCTATACAGAGAAGGTAAAGAAGGCATAGAGCGACCACCGGGAAATGTAAATCACCGAGGAAACGTTTGGGCTTTAAAGGAAAACGGTTGTACTCACGTTATAGGAATTACTTTAGATGGAACTTTATCGAACGAAATGAAACCCGGGGATATAGTGGTATTGCAAGATTTCATCGATTGGTGAATTTAAATTTTTTTTATTCTAAATATATTTAATAAAATTATCTTTTTAAGTACAAGCGGTAGACAACAAACATTTCACGATGGTGAATTTGGTTCTCCCCCGGGAAAAATGCACGTTCCAATGATACCATCATTTAGTGAAGGTTTAAGGCAATGTGTCGTTGACTCCGCCAACGAAGCAGCAATAAACGTTATTTCATCAGGAGTGGCCGCGGTTTTGGATGGCCCTTCGTTCGCAACTTCCGCAGATGCGGTTCGACATAAAAACGCCGGAGCAAAGCTTATTAATTGGTGTACTTCACCCGAAGTAATTATTGCGTTAAAGAAAATTTAAAAATTTTATCTCTTTTTAAAAGGCGATTTTAGCTAAGGAAGCCGGCCTATTATACGTTGGCTTATCTTTGGTAACTTACGACGCAAGGGTGCAACAAACACAATTACAAATGACAAGAAACACATTGGCAAGTCGAAGTAATATGGATGATTTGTTAAGGGTTGTTATTGATGGTATTGGAATTAGAGATTGGGATAAAGAAATTTCGGAATTATTGGTAATTTCATTTTTAATTTTGTAATTTTATTCTTTATGGGGAGAAACTCGTAAAAGATAAGAAGTGTTGTTTATTTAAGATAAACCCTTGTGTGTCTCGCGTAGAAAGGTTTGAACATTTTGTTAGTTTAGGATAACAATATGTATGCTTATATTACCACAAAAACACGTAAAGTTAGTTTTTGATAAAAAAATAATACTGATAAAATTTGAATGGTAAAACTCAATATTATTACAAATTGATAATACATTTTTTATGTATATATTTTATTTCAGCTGAAACATTATAACGTAAGCTCTAAAAATTTAATTTAAAGTACATAGTTTGCGAACCGTGTTGTTCAAACCCATTTTGCTTAATCCCTTTATTTGTTTGCTAACGATTTGAAAAAGTTGAAATGTACCACCTAGTCTCATTGTGATGTGTTTCTAATTCTATGCAATCTAAAATATGAAGAGCTGAAGGCAACAGTTTTGTTGCCCAACCCGAATGATTCTAATTCTAGGTCTTGTGCTAGTTCTAGTAAAACTAGAACTAACACTAGACCTAGAACTAGAAATATTCTAACCCAACCCAACCCGATACGTTCTAGTTCTAGGTCTAGTGGTAGTTCTAGTTTTAATTCAATACAAAATATGCTACAAAGCAATATCTTATGTTAACTAGCACTATCTACCACTGTCACTAGAACTAACATTAGACCAAGAACTAGAAACATTCGGATTTAGCCGCACGTCTCTCAAGACGGCTAAACCCGAATGATTCCAGTTCTAGGTGTTGTGTTAGTTCTAGTAATAGTGCTAGTACAATACTAGAACTAACACTAGACCAAGAACTAGAAACATTCGGATTTAGCCGCTCGTCTCTCAAGACGGCTAAACCCGAATGATTCTAGTTCTAGGTGTTGTGTTAGTTCTAGTGATAGTGCTAGTACAATACTAGAACTAACACTAGACNTTCTTTGTGGCATATATCTCTGGTAGGCGTTGTTTATGTTATATATTGTTTCAAACAATATGTTGCAGCATACCTCCGTAGCATACCACTGTACGGATAAGAGTTTCATATATGCGGAGTTTGAGATATCTGTGGATGTTTCAGGATCTCGTGATAGGTAACAGGGAATAGAATACGCGGTTTTTGTATCTTATCGTTTTCGATTCCACTACTTCGAAGTTGATGTCTTCAATTGCAACACTGCTCGATACGATATCTCCCTCCGCCTTTCACTCTAAATCAAGAATTTCATTTTGTCTTCCTTTATCCTTAGCCTAACCTCTCGTCCAGCAGTTTCGACTTTTTCAAAGGTGTCATTGACCGTGTGCAATGATGTGCCAAGGATGTTAAGAGGCCTACCTAGCTGGCGAAAAATTCAAAACGAGATTCGCTCGTGAACACGACTAATGCGGCAACACCGCTCCATGTGTACTCGATCGGGCTGGCGCGCCAGGCCGATGGAGACTAGGACTTGAAGGACTAGGATTGTCGGGTAATTCCCCGACAATCAGCGACGTTGATTTTATTCTTAGTTGAATGCATTTGAATACGAGTCGGGGCCGCTTTTTGGAACATAGCTGNGACTTTATAAAAAAACATTTTATACAAAAGTTGTTTAATATTTTATTTGCCATAATAGGACAACATTCAATTGTTTATATTTCAGAAAACAAATGAGCAACGAATAACACTTGAATTTCTTTAAATAGCATTGTACCCTTTTGTTACGCTCATTTGATAGAGATTGATAGAGACTTTTCTCTTTACGATGATGTCAAATTTTAGTATCCTTATATCAGAAAATGTTTGAAAAAATGTAAAAATTGTTTATTAACAAAATTTTTAGTTTTTTATGAGTTAATATATTTTTTATTATTTATGTTGTATTATTTATTTTAAAATATATCTTTGGTGATATTGTTTACATTTTTATTTTGTATTTATTTTAATAATTAATATAATAGTATATGATCAGATAATTGTGCAAATATTCTCATTATTAAAAATTTATTTTCACACTTAAACATTGTTTTGCATTCTACGTAAATTAAATGTTTAAATTTAAATTATTGATATAAAAATTTTTTGATCTATCCGAAAATATTAATCGCTTCAGGTTTGTTTTTCTTGGGAGACACTACGCCGACGTCTTGGTTATCGAGCTCGGTATAGCTCCACTATGTCTCGGGCAATGTTTGGGACGGAGCAATATTTGCGATGTTGCTGTATTTATACTCCGAAAGCAATCAAAACCGACTAAACGTTTTAAACCCATTTTATTTAAATTTGCTGCATTTAATAAAAAAATTGAACTCTTTAAATATGATTTACTTTACATTTCACTACCTGGTGATGCATTCCGTTTTTAAAAATTTTTTAAAACGTGATTTTAGAAACGTTACGCGACATTTTTTGAAAAAACTAAATGCATCACTAAAAACTATATAAAAAAATAGAAATTTTGATGTAACAAACATACAAAAATTTTAAACGATGGCTGAATAAAATGGTATTCGTTGTTTTTGCTAATAGGTTATCCTCTTAATAGTTTCTTGAAAACCTCGACGATTTCCATGTAGGTCGGAAAATCAACCGAACTTTACACATCACGCGCGCACATTACTGGTCTTCACGAATATTTAAAGCGATTAGGTCGCGGCTCCTGATTATTTCTCTTCGCATCTTCTTCTGCATCCTCTTCTCACATCGACGCCACAAGAAATATCCAATGATAACCACAATGAAGAGTATTACCACAATTTCCGTAACATATTTTACACTAAAGGGGACATCCGAAGTAGTACCGCCACTGTTACCAGCTTGGCTAATTATAACCTCTTTTTCCTCTTTTGATTGATTATAACCCATTTTTGACTATGCGATAATTTTCGGTAA